AATTTAAGTATGCAAGTGGGCTCATCCGGTTCGCCGGTGAGGTATAAGTGGACCTATCTGGGACGCCGGTAGGGATTAAGTGGACTCATCCGATACGCCGGTGAGGTATAAGTGGACCTGCAGGGATTAAGTGGACCTATCTGGGACGCCGATAGGGATTAAGTGGACCCATCAGGACACTGATGGGGTATATAGGTGACCTACTTGGGACGTCGGTAGGGTATTTTGTGAAATCCTTTGAATTATGTACTGCCGTTAAAAGTGTTATAAGCATTTCAATTACTCGGATTATACTTAATTATGCATTTATTGAAAGTGAAACTGTAGATGCATTTCTGTTAATAGATCTCATTTTGGAAAATATTGATATCTTTCAATCATAATTATTTTTAGAATTATGATGATCACTTACTGAGTAGCCAAACTCATCAAACTATGGTAAACATTTTTTCAGAATAACTGCGGATTCATTTTGAGTGCTCGTCAAGATCAACCTTGAAAGATACTGTTGTTGTGCTAGCTTTCTTTATTTACTTTGTAAGACCTCGCCACTGTAAATTTATCCTATCAATAGATGTATATATGTTTTGTCTGTCACATCTCAGGAATAACAGTATTGTAAATTTTTAGGGTGTGACAAAGGTATATAAATCATAGAACACAAAAGTTACCCTTTGCATGATGTCTTAATTAAGAAAATCAACAATAATGAACAAGAAGAGGAAACTTTGAGGGGAAAAAAGAGCTTAAAGAGAAAAATAAGATAAGAGTAGACAAGATAAAATCTAAAAGAACCCGCATCAAATAATCAAGTTACATTGTCAAAAAAAATATACAATCTCCAAAAAAAAAAAAATGTCACTTTCTCTGCCTCAATGCTTTTATTGGCCAACTAAGGAGACTCTTTCCGCTCACATCAAGTTCCTTGTCGGCACTCCCATCTCTTCGCGACTGCAAATTCCACCTTGATTCCTCTTGCAATGCCGGCGCTTGAAAGGGATCAGCTTTTTTCTTTGTTCTTCTCTCATTTTCATGCTCACCATCACCATCATTATTGCCTTCAACATCCTCTGCATCATCATCCTATTCTCCATCATCATCCTCTTCTCCATCATCATCCTCTTCTCCTTCATCTTCTTCTTCTTCGTCATCATAGTCTTCTTCTCTTTCACTTTCATTTTGCACTTCTCCCCTCATAGTCCGCGTTATGTCCTCGGCACCTGTCTCTACAGAAGTGCTATTCAATAGCAGATCATGAGCCACCTATACATAACACCTGGATTCCTAGGCTAATACTTCATTATTAAGTGTAGCTTGTAGCAACTCTATACAGGTATATCGCTGCAAGTAGAGAATAAAAAAAAACAAAATTGACCATTAGATATCTTTTTCATAATTTTAATATATATTAAGATGATAAAATAAGAATAAATAGTATACCAATATATGATCCTGGGATTGGCCTGCTGAGGCTTGTACATGGGATTGGCCTGCGGAAGTTGGTACATGAGATTGCGACTGCGAAGAGGGGCGAAATGGGGTTTTTCTTCCTTGTGTAAACATGTTGTACCAGGCCATGTACTCTGCTGTTGGTACTCCATCAAATTTATCCACGGCTCCCTTAACAACATTAAGTTATCGTGCTTTCCAATCTTTTATTTGCGTATCCAATTCTACAGTCCAATTTGTAGGGTGTAAACCGACCTTCTCTCTCATATCCCACTTGGGTGGCATAACACGAATACCTTGCAACTTTCCAAATTGTCACAATACGCGATCTGACATATAGTACTCTGTAATATTGAAACTATGAGGTATCATCGACAGATGAAGTACTCTGCAATTTCATGTGATGCCTTATATGGTTGCCAGGTCACCTACAAAAGTAAGCATGATACGTTATCAAATAACTAACCACAGATTGATTAACTACTAGATTATAAGCACATAAGCCAATAACTAACCATGTTAAACTATATGTTATCAAATGAGATGTTTTTATGGCGTGCTTGTTTCTTCCACATGCAACCCTTAGGCATTCCTGGGCTTATGACTAATGTAGGCTTGGTGGCTAGAGCTTGAAGATCCAACACTGTAAAAGAAGTAAAAAGTAAGAAATTGTAATATTCCAAAATTAAATAATAAAGAGAGTGAGAAATACCTGTAGTAAGGTCGTTGACCCACTAAAATGAATATTTTCCCCAACGGCACCGACGACCTTAGGCAACGAACGATACAAAAAAGATAGTGCCGCCGCACCCCATGCATACTTCCATGCCTCATCAAAATCTCGAAACAATTGCAAGTATATTGCAAGGGTCAATCCTTTAGAAGAGTCGGCAAATATAGTTGTGCCGACTAAATAAAGGAGATATGCTCATGTGTGTTGCGTGAGTTGTAATTTGGTCGGATTTTTTGGTAGGTGGGCGAATCGACTCCTCAACCATGTATGTTTGAGATGCATCGGGGTGATGTCTTTAGGGCAATCTCCCAGATACTTCTTAACGAACACAACGTAGTCTTCAGGCCTGACGTCAGTTATAGGCTCATCTGTCACTGGTATCCTTAATATCTGTCACACATCGTATAGTATTGGAGTCATTTCACCCATGCTTGGAAATGCAGTATTCGTGTCCTTGCACCATTTTCCTATAAATGCCATCACTAGATTGCAATCGATATGCGATACCCTAATATCCATCAATGGGCTCAACCCGGCCTTTTGAATTAGAGGTATCCGTCGTTGATCTATCTTCCATTTTACTAGGACTTGAGTTGATTCGTCAATATGAAGTACATTTCTCTCCTAAAATGAATAATAACAAGAAATTGTAATAGTCAATAACATGAGAAATACCTAATCAATGTAAATCATTAACTAAAACAAATAGATCACCATACCTCTTGCCTTTGATCTGATGAAGAGGATGGCTCCCTTGTGTCTCTTAATTGTTCCGGGTCTTGCATTGCTAATTCTATTTTCATAAGTGACATAAGAAAATAACTAAAGTAGCATATCCAATAAAAAAAGAGATAGGACAGTTGTATATCCAATATATGTACGGTAATCTCTCAAAATGAATTAAAGTGGAACAAACACTAAAAACAAATCAGTAGCATATCCAACAAAAAAGAGAGAGAAAAGTGGCATATCCAATATATGTACTGGCAAAAAAATATGTAATGGTAAAATTTTCCACAAGTGGGTGCTACAATTTAAAAAGACAGAACAAAGAAGATAACTACAAAAACTAGCAAAAATATATGTAATGACAAAATTTTCCACAAGTGGGTGCTACAATTTAAAAAGACAGTACATAGAAGATAACAAAAAAAAATGCTTTCAAGTGAGTGCTTTACAAGTTGCCCTGTTGTGACCAGTTCCTTTGCACCTACTACAGTGAATAGGTCGTACTGGTGCTTCTTGTGACTCGATGCGCTTCTTTTTAAGTCTGCCAGGGGGCCGTCTTGAGTGAGGTGGAAGTACTATTATTCCATCTAGAGGAAATTGTCCATGCATACGCCCAGATAGATCGATCAAGGTAACTAGCATGATAGGTTCAAAATATGTTTCACCAAATTTTGCAACCATGAAATACTTTTAACAATAATCAATGGGATCCTTATTCATCCATTGAGGGATTTTACAAGCATGTTTGCAGGGCAAGCCAGTTATTTGCCAACCCTGTCATTCACATTCTCGTGCAATTACCGTCATTCACATTCTCGTGCAATTATATCTACCTTATAATTCATGCGAGCACCCATTGCTTCAACTACTGCTCCACTTGATACAGTGACGTTAACAGAAAGTGATTGCTTTATAATCAATCTGAGTTCATTTTGCAAATGCGAGGTAAGTGTTGTAGTCCATGTTTCAGCTTCCAAGTTACGGGTGGCCATTAGTTTCATGATTTGTCTTCTAATCAAGTCAACACACTGGAGATTTGGCATGTCTCGTGCTGCTATAATCCAGCTGTTATATGACAGCCACATTGGTTGTTACTTGATTATATTGTTTACCCCTGAAGAGTGATGTGGCCTAACGTTGGTGGTGCTTCCATTAACCACTTGAATGCGTCCTCAGAAATTGACCTAATTTCACTCATCTTCTCAAAATACTCTTGCGGCCTATATGCTCTACATGCTCCGACAAAATATTTAATAACTGTCTTCTTAATATCATTAGGTATGTCTTTTGCTTCCTTTTTGAAATTCTCCACTAAATGATGCTCACAGAAGGCATGATGGGCATTCTCAAAAACTTGACAAATAGTATCCACTAGGTCAAAATGTCTATCAGACAACAAAGTAATTTCACGATCTGTCCCAATAGCAATCTTTAGAAATTCCATAAATCATACCCAGTTGTCGGTACTTTCGGCATCCTCAATAGTGAATGCAACAGGAAACACTTGTTCTTCCCCATCTATTGAGTTGGCAGCAAGTAAAGTTCCAAGGTATCGTACCTTCAGTAATGTCCCATCAAGAAATATAAGTAGTCGACATCCACTTCTAAAGCCATGAATTGAGCCATAAAAGCTTATGAACATTCGACGAAATCTGCCATCTTGCCATACTTGTTTTGTCGCATAACTACCAGGATTCGTCTTCATCACACGGTTTACATATACGGGTGACTGGTTGTATGCCTCCTCTTGCGAACCATGTATGTCTTTGATGGCCATTTCTTTCCCTCGTCATCCCTTACAATATGGTATTTGTAGCTCATAATCTTGAGACAAATCATTCATGATTTCTTTAGCCTTATAATGCGCAGTGTCACTTATTTTATCCTTGATTAAAGATGCAATAAATTTTTGTGACACTCTTCTCTGTACATCATTGCTTGCCCCAATATTACATGTTCTCTTTTTCATGTTTTGATGCTAAAAAAATTCGTCCTGCCTAATTTCGAAGCATATATTTTCCATTTGCATCCATCACCCTTGCATTTTGCCCTTATGCGGTACCCCTCATTTTTATTTGAAATGATGTGCAATAGCAAACTTGCTAAGGCCTTCTCGAAAGTCATCTAGAGACTCAAATTGTTGCCCTATACCGTTAAGTGCATCCTCCTATGAACTAAGCAACCTCAGTGAATTGCTTTATTTAGAACCAAAAAGCAACAAATTAGATCTAAGAGGGGGTTTAACCTCTTCGAATACACTATTATTACGTGAAGTACTTCCACCCCTTTGTTCACTCCCATCAAATACATAAACGAAGAGATTATTCTCTCTTTCATGTGCATTCAACATCCTCTCAATATCATCGTCAATGAATACATTCACGAAAAATCTTCTATTTCCCGGGACAAAATACCTCAATGATACCAACTGTATATCTAGCGAGAAACGCTCTGCTACATATTTTCGCAGGTCATCTAACCTAGTTCTACTTTCAATCATAAATGTACATGCATCACCACCAATATAATCCAAAGTCCCATCGACATTTGATTGGACTTCTCCACCAAAATTACAATAAATCAATCTGCTATCGCTTTTTTTTTTCCTGCACAAGATTTGTAATAATTTACACTCCACAGATAAACAAACCCAATTATTATCTGACTACAAAACTAATGACATTGGGACAAACTTAGTATATATCATGAAGATAAAGGAAACTGAGAAAGGTTACAACATTTGAGGTTACAATTTTATGGATCTCCATCCCCAAATAAGTCTGGCGATGCAAATTGCTCAGATAAATGATTAACATGATAAGGGACCAATTGTGGAAAATAGAAACCAACAAAGAACAAGTGGGTTATCATTAAATTGGATGTTTTTTACTACCCAATTGTTTCTTCACCATGCACTCAATGTTAACATCCCAATACAAACACAATGCACACAAAGCATGAACATGATATATCAAACAAAAGAACTTGAATAAAGGATAAATATCCAAAGGTAGCAAGTAACAATCAACCAGAAAATATAGCAGGTTTAAGTATAAGAAGCACAACAATAAAATTTACAAATAAATGAACAATGCTACCTTACAATAAATCAATAACATGATGATTTAGACATAACATGTACAATAGAAATAAATATTCATTTCCAAATGGATGAGATTTTAGGTTCCAACATTGACATGCCTTTGCAGAATTCAGATTTCCAGCCCTCCATTTAAATAAAATAAAATTTATAGATATATCAATATGCAACTATAAAATAGCCCAAAAAATGTAAGTAATTTGACCTAAATCATTTTGATGAAGTATGAAATGCTAGAACATATAATAATAGAAGCAACAAACCCATTAAAAAATGCTTAGATTGGTGAACCTGAAGAAAAGGAGATCAATCAAAATAATACATCAACAAACGAGATAAATAAACAGTGTATCAAGAATTTGAAGCCAGAACATGAGGCAATTTCACATGTACAATGCAGCAAAACATTGAGATAAAACCTAATTGTACTTGACAAATCCCAATAAAAAGGGAAAAATTGAAAAAAATCATAAAAATATCCACAACAATATGTTAATTTAGATGGAAAGGCCAAACTGAGCTACATTCATCATACAAGAAATCATTCTGATTTTTAATTTCTTTTTAGAAGATATTGAGCTAATACTGATATGGGATTGCACAAAATAATAAGATGCAAAAAAAAAAAAAGAAAATCAAGAGAGAGAATGAGGAACAGTCATGTACTTGAAAAAGGCAAAACCCCCACAAATCAGGCCTTTACAGAGAACCCAGAGTTTCGTGGTCTCTTTTGTAAAGAGAGGGAGAGAGCTAAGGCCTTCTCTCTGTGTGGTAGAGAGGTTGCCCCAATGTTCCTTCGAAGAGAGAGAGAGAGGGACAAAGAGATGGAGAGGGAACATGAGAGGTGGGAGATAGGGCCGCAGAGAGATCGAGAGGGACCTCATGCTGGAGAGAGAGTGAGAGATGGGCTGTAGGTGAGAACAAACCTTGGGTAAAAAGCCCTTTTTTCTTGCGTGGGTAAAAAGAAAGGCAAACCGG